CAAATCGTTGTCAAATCATTAATGAATCGTATCGCATCGTATGGACAGGGGGCTCCACTGTATCGTTAATGTATCGTATCGCTGGCAGAGTATCGAGATGTGTATCGAATCGGCCTCAGTGGTGGGGATTCACATCCCTAATACATATACATATATTATATATATATATATATATGTATATATATATAATATATGTATATGTAGTCACATCTTAAGTTAGCTAATGTTAGCAAAATGCTAAAATCCATTAAAAATAAGAATTCCTTCAGTTTCAAAAAGGCCTTCACAGAACTTTACTGCTGGGGCCCTGATCATAATTCTATATAGAGAGACAGATTATATATTCTATATTTATAGAGACAGATTATATATATAAACACAGATTAAATGATAGAGAGACAGATTATATATATTCTATATTTCTGACGTGGTGCTGCAGGCCGGAGGAGGTTCAGACACTGAACACACACACTGATCTTCAGACTCTCAGAAGGTCACACGAGCGTCGGCCTACAGCAGGAAAACAGATGTTTGTGGTCGAGGATGATGCTCACACACACACACACACACACACACACACACTCACACTCACACACACACACACACGCACACACACACACACACACACACAGCAGCTGGGATGTTAATGCCAGCAAACAGGATTATCCTCAGAAAGGATTTCTCTGCTAAGCATTTCCTCTTAATTAGATTTCTCAATCTCAGGGATGAATTGCCTTTTAGCAGCGAGAGCCGCCACTGAGGGAGCTGTTAGCTCCTTATAACTGAATTAAATGCATAATTAGTGATACAATTACATTAGCAGAGGGTCTTTTGTATTTGTGTGAGTGAAGGGGATGGAGAGTGAGGGGGGGGCACTGATATATGAGAGAGGATCTGCAGCTACATTCAGGATCCAACAGGTGAGAATATGAAGATGTTCATACATCTGTGGAGATTACCTTTAATTCACCATTATTTTAATCATAATTAACTATCATCAGTAAGTATTATTTACGTTATGTTTACTGACTGGTTGCTTTCTGATGACGCAGTCCTCTGCTCTCTCTTCTGAGGTTGTCAGTCTGACTTTACCTTCGCATCCTTCTTGACTAGGTCACCATTTAAAAACTGTCTTTTACCCGTTTAAATAAAGGTTAATAATAATAATTATAATAATAATAATAAATCAATGACCAGATGAAACACTCTACGCTGATGACACAGTCCTGTATTCCTCTTTTGAGACTGCGGTTGTCAGTTTGACTTTAAGGAAAAGAAATCAGGGAAATGTATTTATGATTATACACCAAGTTTAATAATGAAATTAGTTTTTAGTCCTTCATGCTGCACACATAGATAACGATTAAAAGAGACTGAACATTAGCAGCCTGAAGTCCAAGCTCTCTATTCGGCTCTCTTCCTCTCCTCTTGGGGAAGCAGCACTCGCCATGATGGAGTTTGTCCCGTCCGGTCGATCTCGCTTTAATCCAAACTCCATGTTTCCTTTGCTGATGACTGCAGGCTGTTTAAGGTAACACATGTTTCAGCAACAAAGAACAGAAACACAGAGAGAGGTTTGAAGGAGCCTGAATGTGGAGCCAAACTCTCCTGAATCCAGCTGGTTTGAACAATTTTGGCTTTAAAATCAAACCAATCAAACATTATTATTATTATTATTATTTTGAGGAGCTTCTGGCTACTACATCTACCTGCACTGCCTTTACCATGGCAACCACAGTACAGAATGATGTACCTGTATCAGCATCTCCTCTCAACCTGCTTTACTTCCCTAAAACGAACCACCTTTGAGTCTCTGGTGCAGCTTCCCTTCAACTTATTGTAAAATCATCCACGTTGCAGATCCAACACTTCCTCCAGAACAGACAGTGTAATATATCGGTATCGTCCCGCAGACAGGAAGTGCGTCTGTGAACATCTGAATGTCAGGTACTGTAGTGCACACATTAACCCCTGATGCTCCTATTTACTACACGTCCACAATCTGGATTCATGGTCAATTCATCATTAGTCACACACACACACGCCCTGAACATACACTGAGCACACGCCCTGCTCACACCTCGCCCCTCCATCCTCGCCGTGTATCCCTGAACCATTCATCACCGGGCGGCCGCTGACAGTGACGGATGGGTCAGCCCGCCACTGGCACTCTCCCAGCCAGAGACTCATACGGCCACAGCAGCGGACTGACAGCTGGAGCAACATGTCAAGTGGTGGAGAGACTGCGGCCATTAATAACCTCCGTCACATGATCACCTCAGTGTGAGGGGGGGGCGTCCACGCCTCAGCGTCAGGGCCGGGGAGGGAGATGTCACAGCGACAGTCATGGACGCCTGATCTTTAATCAAGTGCGCGGGGACGATGGGTAATGAATATATCGCTCACAAATTGGAAGGTGTGGGGGAGGACACGCGGGGGGCGGGGGGGGCCCGATGGGAGATCTGATGACCCATCTGTGGCTCGGGGGTGACCCTGGGGAGCGGTCCTCTTAAAGGCGACCCCGCCACTCTCGCCACATCTGAGCACATGTAACGTGTCATTCATTCAGTGAGAGATCGTAATCATGTGAGGAGGCCTGCTCGATGAGCCTCGACAGGCCTGAAGTCCGCCGCTCAACCAGAACCCGCACAGTGTCTCCATCAGGAGATCCACAACAAAACCCAAATATCCATCAATAAGCCCTCAGATCAGATTAAAATCTGATTCTCAGGAGAGTTTGAGACTCATTGTAGATGTTTAAAAGCTGTAAAGACACACGTGATCTTCCCATAGTGTTCCAGATACAGATCTGTAGACCACAGAACCTCTGCAGCGCTACAGTACTTTAATCTGAGATTTAGACAAAGTTTGAGTTTACATAATGTTCAGAATAAAGTTGAAATATTTTGAGAAAGTTGGAAGTCAGCTGAGGCATAAATTGGTTGAATTTGACAGTTTTTTATTTGACTTCCAGCTGATTTGTCTCACAGGAGATCCTGATAATGAAATTAACTGCAGCAGCGTCCTTCTGAACAAATGATGTGTTCGATGAGGTCGATCTGTGGGAACCAGCCCACAAACATAATCAGTAAAATCTTAAAGCTCCAGCTCTGCCCGGGGAGGGGAGGCCTGATATGATCTCCTCTCTTCAATGCAAAAGAAGCATTATTGTTTAATTGACTTTCACCTCTCCTTGTCCGCGGAGCTGATGTATGCAAAGCGACTGTCCGTGAGCCGGACGCGCGTGAGCCGTTTATTTCCACGCGCTCTTTAAGAGCCGAGATGATCCTTTAATCCAATTCTACTCAGCAATCAAAGATCCATGAATCAGCCCCATTATGAGCAGGCCTATGGCCGAGCCCCACGTTCTGCATGTCATTATTGTGGGTGGGGGGGGGGCTGTACCGTAACAAAGCTGCTTTTAATGAGATTCCACAAAGCTCCAAATCAGGCCATCCCAGCATGCATCCTGGCTAATTCACTTAAAAATAATTCATTCCCAAAGACAATCGCTAACTGAGGAGCAAGGACGACAACCACGCTTCATTTTCAACCTTCACAGCAGCAGAGCCTCATCCCAGCGAGGGAGGGGCCCAACGCACACACAGTGATTAACTTAAATGTCCTCAGTGTCCCCAGACTCACAGATGCAGATTTGGCAGAGGCCGAGGGGTATAAGTCATCTTGTGTAAAGCTAATAAAATCAGAGGCTAATGCTAGCAGCGCTCGCTCCTTTATGAATAGGAAAATAAATATTCAATTACTACTTTATACAGAGAGAGAATTCAATTTCTGTCCGTCTCTTCTGCGAGCATTTGCAGAGAAACGGAGGAATGAGAGAATATAAAAGTCCATCAGTCAGAGGAGGCTGCTGTAAACCGGCACTCTGTCACACAAAGTACGTCTCCTGAGGTGTTCGGACGCAGATCGAGATGGCTTAAATTACCCGCCACGTCTGATGTGGTCGATATATCTCCTCCAGGTGAGCCGGGCCATCCGTTATGATTGTGGAATTATAGATTGGATGTTGGTTTCTGTGCGATTGAGAGCGAGATCCATCAAACTGTCCTACATTTCTTTTTGTTTTTATTTAAATATGAGATCACAAATCACAATTAATACTGGGACACCCACACAGACAGTAACAGCTGTTCTTACGGTTCACATTAGGAACCTGGATTACATTAGTCCACATCGGGTCTCTGTTACAGTGCACTTTGGAGTACTGCAGAAAGTTAGTTTAAAAAATACCAGTAATGCTTAATTCCTAAAAATTATTAAACAATAAGTTCAGTAAATATACAAACATCAGTTGGATAAACCTCATTGTTTAATACTCACATTAAACACTCTGAGAATGAATCATTAACATCCTGTAGGAGTCAATGCAACTTCAATGTCTTAGTGTCCATTAACTCCTGATAACGAACACTTCGAAGGCCGTTATCGTGCTTATACCACGCTCACGTTTTTTAAACAAAATCTACAAGTTTTAACTCTGTTTCCATGGTTACACCTGAGGTCCTTCCTAACACCTGGAAGAATCATTCCCATCCCATAATGTTCTAATGCAATGGAAACGTTGTTCACTGCTCCAGTAAATAGGACGAACCTTAGAGCTAACGTTATGCTAACAAAATTCAAACTCAGTTAATATAATCTGAGTGTGTGTTTACCAACAACCAGACGGGTCATTGTTTGTTTGTTTGTTTGTTTGTTTTGACCATCAATAGATCATGTGTACTGGCAGTAGCTGAAGTAGCGGACAGTATGTAGGAGGATCGATTATATAAAGTATGAGTGAGTTCACTCTGTCAGATATATTTATCACATACTCATATTTTGTTTTCATTAATTTAGATCAGTAAACAATCAGTTATCAATGGACCCCCAGCAGCCAATCAGAGTCCAGTATTCAGACTGTGGTATAATAATGATTAATAAAGTCATTGTAGTCTCTGTGTTATTATGAGTCCCTCCGTCTGTGTTGTGTGTTAAAGGATTTCAGCAGCTTCCTGATCTCAGTGAGTTTCCTGAAGCAACAGATGTGCGTGTTCCTGCCTTCAGATCGCGGCGGCGGGATTACGAGGAGACGGCCGACATCAAGGCTCAGAAACACCCCCGTGAAATCCACAGACAAAGTGTTACACTCTGTGGAAGAAAGACACAAGTCTGAGCGCCGTGTCGGTCGGAGATCACGCCACCTGCCAGAGGCCTGTGGGCGGCGTCCGTTTAACCAAAGCGCTGACTTTCTTTAACTCAACTGTCCATCTGTTGAGGGCCTATTGTCTGCGGAGTAATGCAGCTGCAGCGACTCCTCCTCCTGCTGTTATTCAAATACTGTTACTAACCACTGATTTATTCATTGGCTTTACACTCCACCCCGACCCACACTCACCCTTTTACTGCTCACAGCTCATCCGCCCCCTTTATTTCTGTCCACTCAGACCTCCCAGCATCCAGCTGTCACTCTCAGGACCACGCAAAAAAACTTTATTAAACATCAGCAAAGAACAAACAGGCTTCATTAGTGGTTGTTTAACACGTCTGACAATGAATCCAAGCAGTATAACAGAAAGTTAGGTCGGATTAAATGACTTTAAAGGTTGTTATATAACATACATTAATTAATAACATTAATATATAACAGATATAATTCAGACAGTCTTAAAGCTTTAAAGAAGATTTTCAAGTCATTAATAAACACCACAAAGCTCAGAGCAACTTTATTTTTGTTTGTTTGTGTCTGTACAGTGTTAATAAAGTTGTGTTTGTACAGTGTTAATAAAGTTGTGTGTTTGTACAGTGTTAATAAAGTTGTGTGTTTGTACAGTGTTAATAAAGTTGTGTGTTTGTACAGTGTTAATAAAGTTGTGTGTCTGTACAGTGATAATAAAGTTGTGTGTTTGTACAGTGATAATAAAGTTGTGTGTTTGTACAGTGTTAATAAAGTTGTGTGTTTGTACAGTGATAATAAAGTTGTGTGTTTGTACAGTGATAATAAAGTTGTGTGTCTGTACAGTGTTAATAAAGTTGTGTGTTTGTACAGTGTTAATAAAGTTGTGTTTGTACAGTGATAATAAAGTTGTGTGTTTGTACAGTGTTAATAAAGTTGTGTGTTTGTACAGTGTTAATAAAGTTGTGTGTTTGTACAGTGTTAATAAAGTTGTGTGTTTGTACAGTGTTAATAAAGTTGTGTGTTTGTACAGTGATAATAAAGTTGTGTGTTTGTACAGTGATAATAAAGTTGTGTGTTTGTACAGTGTTAATAAAGTTGTGTGTTTGTACAGTGATAATAAAGTTGTGTGTTTGTACAGTGATAATAAAGTTGTGTGTCTGTACAGTGTGAATAAAGTTGTGTGTTTGTACAGTGTTAATAAAGTTGTGTTTGTACAGTGATAATAAAGTTGTGTGTTTGTACAGTGTTAATAAAGTTGTGTGTTTGTACAGTGTTAATAAAGTTGTGTGTTTGTACAGTGATAATAAAGTTGTGTGTTTGTACAGTGTTAATAAAGTTGTGTGTTTGTACAGTGTTAATAAAGTTGTGTGTTTGTACAGTGTTAATAAAGTTGTGTTTGTACAGTGATAATAAAGTTGTGTGTTTGTACAGTGTTAATAAAGTTGTGTGTTTGTACAGTGTTAATAAAGTTGTGTTTGTACAGTGTGAATAAAGTTGTGTGTTTGTACAGTGTTAATAAAGTTGTGTGTTTGTACAGTGTTAATAAAGTTGTGTTTGTACAGTGATAATAAAGTTGTGTGTTTGTACAGTGTTAATAAAGTTGTGTGTTTGTACAGTGTTAATAAAGTTGTGTGTTTGTACAGTGTTAATAAAGCTGTGTGTTTGTACAGTGATAATAAAGTTGTGTGTTTGTACAGTGTTAATAAAGTTGTGTGTTTGTACAGTGTTAATAAAGTTGTGTGTTTGTACAGTGTTAATAAAGTTGTGTTTGTACAGTGATAATAAAGTTGTGTGTTTGTACAGTGTTAATAAAGTTGTGTGTTTGTACAGTGTTAATAAAGTTGTGTGTTTGTACAGTGTTAATAAAGTTGTGTGTTTGTACAGTGTTAATAAAGTTGTGTGTTTGTACAGTGTTAATAAAGTTGTGTGTTTGTACAGTGATAATAAAGTTGTGTTTGTACAGTGTTAATAAAGTTGTGTTTGTACAGTGATCAGTGAGCTCTGTGTCACTAACAGTTGAAGATTGATTGACGGGTAAATGTGAGGATGTTATTGGTTGGAATCAGTTAGTTCATGCTGACGTAAACACACGTCACATTTAGTTTTACAGGAAGACACACGATTGGATTCTACATAAAAACATAAATAAATTGATTTATTCGCAGTCTTTGGTTCGATCTAACTGAGGAGATGTTTCAGTTGATCTGACGCTGATTCAGAAAGTTACAGGACAGCGATGATAAACCCGTACCATGTCTTTAATGAGATTAATGGTGCAGTTGTCCTCCAACCTTCAGCCTCCGTAGATCAACCCTTGTTCCTCCGTCTGATTGATCCGGTTCACCTCCTGATGAGGTCTTTACTGCAGAGGGCCGGCGGACATCTTGTCTTCCTGTGTGCGATCTGCTCCCCGCCGCTGGCCCCTTTGTGGCTGATTTCATGGCGTATTCACCTCCTGTGTCCCCGCAGCCTTCAGTCTTTCTGCTGACAGCGGGAGCCTGACAGCCTGTCGTGTTCCTCGCCGCACTATACTAGACAGATACCGCCACTTAACGCCGCCGCCTGAGGGAAATATGGCCTCTTTTATGACGGAGGGTTTAAGTGATGAGTTAGCGTCATCGCCCTGTGAAGCTGTCAGCCGAGGAGCTGCGGCCCGGCCGGGGTCAGACCCGAACCCACGGTGGGAATAACCCGTCGGAGGGGGCGGGGGGGGCAGCCCACCCACAGTCCTTTGCTTTAATTCAAGGCTGATTTTTGTTATGCACCCCCCCCTCGTCCTGCAGGGCAGAACAGTTTTACAAGCCCCCCCCCTGCAGCCTGTTAATAAAGGCTGTGAAGGCAGCAGAATGGGGCTGCTGCTGTAATAAAGTGGCCATTCATCCTCCGCTCCCTCTCAGCGGCTCACTGAGGGAGGGGTGAGGGAGGGGTGTGGGGGCGTTTCGGCTACGCTGCCTGTGTATGGAGAGCTTTAGCTTTAATTGATCCTCAGATTTGTGCATGTGAAGTTTCCTGCACCGTCCTTTGTGGCGGCGGCGGTGGCGGCGTGAGATTATGAGGAGGATGAGAGGCCGCTCTTCTGCTCGAGTGGAGAGTCGGAGCACTCAAAGACTGTTCGGGGCCACAGGGACGGATCTGTTCCCCCGAAACACAAACTGCACATCGACTGCAGATCAGACCGACAGTCAAACGTGATCTCTGCTGTTAGTGCCTCTAAATACCTTCAGTGTTCAGATAGACGTCGTACCGACCCGTCAGAGGGTTTAATATTAGCTGATGTTCACTCAGTGTTCCCGTTTACATGCAGCCGCTGGCGAACACGTATAAAATACAAGAATACAGTCCGAACATCAGATTTCTCCACAAACATAAAAAGACTTTCTCCTGGTTGGTTGCTCCCAATATCGTGCTAACTGACTGAGGCTAAGCTAACAGGTCCCAGGTATACACTGTCTGTGTGTCACCAGTTACAGTTGCTGAGATTTAATTGGACAATCACTGATATTCATTTGTTTGATGGACTTGTTGTCAGCATTAAACATCTTCCGAGCTCGTATTAACGCAGTAAACTGAATCCATACGTTATCTGTAGCCTACAGTAAAAACAATCAATAAATGAATGATTGATATCAGTGATCAGCTGACAGATGAGGAACTGCTGTAGAGGAACTTTAAAGCTCGTGGTTGCAGTCAATCTATCGGGACTGTTCATTATCTTAATTAGGAGTTTGAGGTAAATGTCTTTTTAATTCATTAGTAATATCTTTGTAATTAGTAACTATTAGGCTCATCGGCCGAGGACAACACTGAGGTGGCTTATCAAAAGCAAATTAAACATCATCAACAGACTAATGTGGGTTTGATGGTGCCGCGAACAGAGTCTTAACTAATGACGGCGCTCCGCTCTCGGGCTGAGTGGCCCCATTAAATCACGCCGCCCAACTTAATGTTGGGAGGTGTTAACAGATTGATTCTCCTAATCTGTTCAACTACATCAACAGTCAGCCGCCTCTGTGTGTGCGCGCAATTTCACAGTCCGTAGTCACGCACAGTTAAACTCTGCAGGTTCGGCAGGGGGGCGGCGAGGGAGGCGGCTGGGTGAGGCGAGCTGGTGCCTCTGCTGTCGGGCAGAATGGCAATCTTCAAGTTCATTCGGCGTGATTAAACCGGAGCGGGGACTTTTCTTCCCGGCTAATTATGTGGAAATTACAAAGACAATAAAGCATCTGGTAGTCATTCTTCCTCTTTCACGTTTTCCTCAATATTGTGACAGGCTGATGCATTGTGGGTGAGCCCCCCCCCGCGGCGAGCCGGCTGAGAGCTGAGGTCAGCGGAGAGCAAATAGATGAATTTATAACTTTGCCTTTTCAGGGCGCTGTTCCACCCCAGAGACCGCCACTTATTCTGAGGACACCCAGACCGGCCTGGACCACTGAGACCTCCCCCCTCCTCCCCATCTGGAGGACACAAAGAGGGAGAGCAGGGGAGGAAGACTGAGACCCCCCTCCTCCCTCACCTCCTCCGTCCCCCCAGATTGGCAGGCCACCCCGGTGAAGGCGCCATGTTTTCTAATTCTTGTCAACAATTTCTTACAATGAGCAGGAAGTCGACGGTCTCAGAGCGAACTCAGAAAACAGACTTTAATATTCATTTGTTTCTTTAAACAATATTAAAGTTTGTTTTTCTGTATCTGCAAACACAAAACTAACTTTTAAAATTTCTAGAATGTAGAATATTATTTTAATAGTTGTTAATTTCTTAACTGCTTCCACAAATTCAGCTCACAATAAGCAGGAAGATATTATGCTAACGGACTGACGCCAAAGCTAACAGGTTACTAAGATATTAATTATACAACATTTACTAAAGTTTGTTTTTCTGTATCTGCAAACACAAAACTAACTTTCAAAGTTTTTGAAATTCTCGTTTTCTACAAAGTTGAATATTATTTAGTTTTTAACAAAAACATTGTTGTGAATTTATTTTCTGCTTTTTCAGTTACAATAAGCAGGAAGTCACTCACCAAACCGCCACAATTAAAAAACTGTTCAGGAAACTTGTTAAAGTGAAAAATGCTTAATAATTTCAACTGTAGCTATTTAATTTTCAAACACCCAAATAATTAAGTGTTTGTATTTGAAATAATGAATTATAAAAAAAACTTCTGTCTGTTTTTGATTTCACATTAAAGTGCATTAATGATATAAATATGTAGTTTATTAATAAGTAATGTTTATTTCTTTATTTTGCCACCATTAGAAAATAAAATAATAAAAAGTGGAACTCTGTAGAGACACTTGTCTTATTTTGAAGGAACACAATTAAAACTAGTTGATGCAACCTGTTTTTCTTTCGTTCACACCTCGTCTTCCTCCACCTGCTGTCCGACAGCTCTTCCTCGCCGGCTCTGCCGCCCGCCTTAATTAAATGTGCACTTCATTAATGTAAATTGGGGGGCTTTAATGCCCTTGTTGAAATTCTGAAGAAAGTGCAGTGGCCTCGCGAAATGCTCCGGCATCATTGCAAATTAGATTAGGGACCAAGAAAGGCAGTAAAATTAGAATGATAATGGTTGATATGGCTCCCTGACAGGCATGACTATTCAAGGATCAATGGGATGTTGAATGCTTTGGCGGAGCCCACTTCTCAAAGGCCGGGGGGGACAAACGTCAGCCTACAGATGTGCCTTTTGGAAGCACTTGAAATTAGTTTAATTTGGTAAATGGTAGGGATTTAGAAGCTTTTAGCCCGACTGTAACAAGACAAGAATACATTGAAATGTTTTGCCATTCTTTTATTAGCATAAAACGGGGCCGGGGGCCAATTTGCATTCCCAACAAGTCCATTTTTTTCCCTGCATCAGAGGCTTTTTTCCTCCTCTACGAGATTGCATTTGCATTTTCTGCTCAGAACGAACGCTGTTTTTTAACCCGCCGTAATCCTTTTAAAGGGGAGGGGACGGCTTGATTTTATTCCGGCTAATCTAATCAGAGACACCAATTACAAGCTGATTCTGATTAAAGTCCAATAACTCGTAACGAGGAGACGAACGGTCCTGATGAGACCTCTGTTTGGGGCGAAATGATCGTCTCCGACAAGTTCAGAAGCTAAAATCTGTAAATGTCACATACTTCAAAATAAGAGCGTGTGAGGATGAAGCAGGTTAAACAGACTGCTGCAGTCTGACATCATTGACCCTAATGGCATTGTGGGTAAACAGACGGACCCGGTCCACTTCTGGAAAGAGGAGCGGGAGGGAGGGGGATAATGAAAGCAAAGGTTGAGGAAGTGACTTTTTAATTCTCTGGAAAATCTTCAGTCAATCTTAAGTCAAACAGACAAATAAATAATAAATATATCCAGAAACAGAAACAGATGGAGAACTTTATTAATCTCAAACAGCAAAAAACAACAGGGAACAAATATTCTCCACAATTACTTCTCTTTTTCAATTCATTATTCTACAAAGGAATAAAACAGAAAATTGTCTGAAGAGTAAAAATCTAAAGAAAATGAACTTAAAACAAAGAAATTCTGACATCAAATGTTTCTTATTGTGAGAAAAAAATATAAACTAACAAATATAATTAAAGAAGAAAATCAGATTAAAGATGAAGGCCGATGACCTTTAAAAGACCAGTGTGAGGATTACAGCAGATTACAACCGACTGAATACCTCTCGGTCAGTCTCTCCAGGAAGTTGTGATCAACAATTTAAACCGATCTCCTGAATTCTGCGTGATGATGCGATTTTGTCCGATCAGCGCAAATGTATCCAATTATTGCATTTTTAATGAATAATACAGAAACACTGTTAACACTGCGCACACACACACACACACACACATAAAACCATCACATCGTAATTGTTAAGAAAAGTCGTAACAATCCCCAGAACAGTCAGCGAGATGCTGGAACTATATGAGGAACTGTCGCTCTGTTCCAGTTCGATGTGGTTTTACTCGTTAGCTACTTTATGCTTAGAGCA